AACGTTTGGGTGGTTTTCCTTCATACCACAAAGGTCATGGTCACTGGCCCTGTTACTTTGGGCCAGTGGTGCCACAATATACCATGGCAGGGGTGTGTGGCAGAGGAGGCCGATTCACCTCTAGTGTCCAGGAAGCAAAGAGAGAAGGGAAGGGGCTGGGTCCCATCTCTGTTTCAAGAGCACACCTCCAGGGACCAATAGCAGCACAGCCCTTAATAGACTGTTAGGTGACATTTCCCATTCAAAGATTAGAGAAAAAAGTCACAAAGTTTAAATCTGTTTGTCATTCAGACTTTTTTCTTTTTCCCAATACACATTAGAACAGCTATTTGCAAGGCACTGAGACAACGGCCTTAAAAATGCTGAATGCCACAAAATTTGTGAAATATTTTTTCTAGATTTTTATGAAGCTACTGAGAAACTATTTTTAAAGTTGTCAGCTTTTTTTTTTTTTTTAAGTAGGAGGAAAAACCCCACATCATTTATATTACGGGACATTCTGATCAGCAAAGCTATGGTTTTGCTAATTTTTAAACCTAACTAAAAGTAATTCAAAAATACTGATTTCAACATTACATGGCAAACCTGACTGAATGACTCACAAATAACATAAGCAGCAATTTTTCACTACTGTAGATTACTCTAAAAGTGTTTTTACCCTAAACCTATGACTATCTAGTTCATACATAAAAAGTAGCTATGGATATGAAATATTTACTCATCAAACTTCCTAATGGCTAAATTATTTTATTAAAAATAAAGGGGACATATCTTTGAAATATGGCTAATCTCAATGGTTAGGTAGAAGAAAGACCTTTAACACAAAAATTACAATTTGGGAAAACTAAAAATACATACAAGTTCTTATTTGAAGAAACAACAATGTCCATGAGCGTTATCTTTCTCAAGACTGAGCTAGTTGTGGTGGTGCCTGCTTGTAGTCCCAACTACTCCAGAAGTGAAGGTAGAAGGACCCTGGTCCAAGGTTGGCCCTGTGCTATTTGAAAATCCAACTGAAGCAAAAAGCACTGGGGGCACACCACAGTGCTAATGGCTCAAGGGGTAAAGCATTTGCCTAGCAAGTGAGGTCCTGATTACAAACCCTAATACTGCTAAAAAAGAAAAAAAATTCTCAAGATGTCCGTTTCTCTGACAAAGAGCAGCTGATGCAACGTGCAATGGTCATTTAGTAAGTTACACGCTCCTCTGGGTAGCCCAGGAGGTGGGTTTTCATTTCTGTGTCACTTTCATTGTGAGCTTTCCTCTAAGTGTGGTGTCTAGATGGGACATCGAGGTGACTGTGGTTAGAATGACTCCGGAAGACTTCTGAGCAATTACTGACTAGAAATGGCCTAGAAGTGACAGACTGACACATAACCAAAATAGCTGAGACATGTGTTTATCTTGATTACATACAGGAAAACAACAGCAAATAAATGCTTCCCAGCGCGACAATCAACTCAGCATCTGAGTGTTTTTCTACCCAGTGATGGAAATGGTTTTTGAGAAACAACTGTGCTTCCGACTGGAAGGATTCTGAAATCACATTCTTCCACAATGGGTAGGCACCTGAAAAGTTTTAGCTCTATGCTACAGTTTGGATCTGGAGTGTCCCCCAAAGGCCCATGTGCAAAGGAGTGGTCTCCAGCTTGGGGCTATTAGGAGATGGTGGAACCTTTAAGAGGCGGGGCCTGGTGGGAGGTCTTCAGGTCACTAGGGGGATGTCCTTGAAGAGACTGTGGGACCTCAGCCCTTTCCTCTTCCTTTCTTTGCTTCCTGGCCATGAGATGAGTGGTTTTGCTCTGCTACATGCTCCCTGCCACGCTATACTGTCTCGCCACAGGCCCAAAGCGACAGGGCAAAATGATCATGGAGTGGAACCCCCACAGGTGTGAGCCAGAATAAACCTCTCCTCTTCACAAGGCAATTGTCTCAGGTATTTCTTATACCTACTGAAAGTATATGTCCACTGACAGTTTCCATGTTCTCCAGATAGGTTGTTTTAGATTTGTGTCTAGGGCCCCGTCACTACAGTCATCAAACCAACTGCCTTAAGTTTATCAGAACATAGAGACCTGATTCACACAAAAATTATATTTTTAAGGCACCAAAACACATAAGAGGAAACTTGTAGATTCAGGCAACTGGCATACCAGATGCCTGCATATCTGGGAAGACTATAAAATTGTCTAAAAGATATGGACCAGCTGGTTGAGAAGCAGAACTCAGTGAGTTACGCTGCTTGAGGATAAAGAATCACAGAATTCTCCACTTCATTGCACTGAACTAAGGGCCTCGTGCTTGCTAGGCAGGGGCTCTACCCCCTAAGCCACACCCCCTTGCAGGATTTTCAACACGGAAAGGACTCAGTGATCACCGATTTCAGTGAATTTCCAGCACTTCCCCCAAGCCTGTGAGGGTTCCTTGAAGGTCACTTTAGAATTCTCCTTCAAAGCTACAAGTTCATGGTTAAAAGAGGAGCTAAGCTGGTCAGATGGACTCAATACAGGCAAAAGTGCTGAAGTAAAAGTAGCAGACCCCTGTAATCCCAGCACTTGGGAGGCCGAGGCAGGAGAATCACAAGTTCGAAGCCAGGCTGGGATTCAGAGCAAGACTTTGCTTAAAAAAGAAAACAAAGAGTGAGACCGAAGGGGTAAGTTTACTGGGCACTCGTTTCAAGGGTGCTGATTTGGATGTGGCACTCAATACCTCTTTTGGTAACCTAGCAGGGCATTCTACCTGAGCAGAGACCTCACTGCTATTGCCTCACATCGGCCAAAGTAATGAGATTTTAAACAGTTTTGCAGCCACCTAAAGCCTCTGTATTTAGAAAGGTTTTCCTCAGCAGGATACAGGCAGACCTCGTCAAAACCCCTCTTCATGTGGACCCAGAACACGGATGTTTTCTTTTCTGAATCCAGGGCCTCGTGCACGCTAAGCATGTGCGCCACCACGAGCTACCCGCCCCAGCCTGTAGGTCTGGCTTCAAATCATATTTGCCAATAAACACTGAGCAGGAGGGAATATCTCTTATGTGGTACACAATGGGAAATACATTTCACATCGGCGTGTGCAGCGCCTGTAAGCACTAGGAATTATTCCACGTCGATGCATGAAGCGACAATTTCTAATAGGAAGAAGATAAGCAGCATTAAAAGCAGAACTGGCACACTTCCTTCGGCTATCTCAATGATAATGACCTCAGAGTCAGTGTTTCTTCATAAAGAAATGAGTTTACTGCAGCTTGATTGCATCACCTAAAATACAGCCCTTGGCCTGCAAACTTTCCCTTATGTTTTATGAGGTTTGAAATAAAAAGGAAACTGGTGGAATTAAACCAGCAAATGATTTTGCAATCAATGACTGCAGTTGTACGCTGCTACAAAGCAGATGTGCTCAAACGCTGAGGAGACTGGACCAAACCCCATCCTGTCCAATCCTGTTGACAGCCCTGTTCACAACACATCCCTGCCTTTAGAGGGACAGCTCTATATGAACAACTGTAATTTTGTAAACTATTTTTCAAGGGTCACCAATTAATGATCGTCAGATATCTTGATGGTCTCCACTATGAAAACCAAACATTCACATGATAGAACAAAAGTTTAGTTTTCTCAGATGCACCAGAGTCCATCAAGATGAAGACTGACTTCAGAGTTTATCTTCTTACCAGATCAGCATTGAGAGAGATGAAAACAGAAGAAAGAAAAAAAACAGAGATGGGTGTAGCTCCCTGGTGGTACAGCACATGCTTAGCATTCACAAGGCCCTGTGTTTGATCTCAAGCAAGCAAGAAAGAAAAGGAAAGAATGGAAAGGGAGAAAAAGAGAAATGGAGGAACAATTGAGTGTCAAATGAAACTGAATTAATTTGATCACGTTAGTATCCTGTACGATTCTTGAAAGAATTGACTAATACTTGACAAACACAACACTATCTAGTTACAGCTAAAATTTGTTTTGTCAGCCAGTCAACCGATCAGAACAAATGGTGATGAAGAATGATGTGTTCAAGTAGGCAGAGCTCTTGCGATTTTACTGAGTTAGCTCTGCAGTTCATGGAAGTATGGGTCTTCTCCATGATTTCTCTTAAGTTCAAACCCAAAGCCATGTGCTTGAGGGTTTTTTTTTTTTTTGGCAGTGCTGGGGATGGAACCCAGGGCCTCACACACGCTAGGCAAGTGCTCTACCACTGAGCCACACCCCAGCCCTGGAAGCTTGCATTTAGATATAGATTTAAAAAGTATGAAGTTTTATTCTCTTGTGCTTCTAAGACATTGAAGTTTTGTGGAAATTCAGAATATTTGCTTTTTCCTTTCTCCAAGTTTGTATGCTCTTGGAAGTCAAGAATAGCACTATACTCATGTTTGCACTGTAAAGAGCTAAAAAAGAAAAGTGCACAGATCTAAATTCTGATATGCCACTTAAAATCGCATATCCAGAAATATTCAGTGTTTTGTTATAATTCAAATTACCAATATATGCAAATTCTGTTTTTAAGGCTATTAAAGCAATATAAAAATTGTCACAGCTGAGCACTGGTGGCTCACGCCGGTAATCCTAGCAACTCAGGAGGCAGCGATCAGGAGGATCACGATCGAAGCCAGCCTGGCAAATAGTTTGCCAGACCCTATCTCAAAAATACCCAACACAAAAAAGGCTGGTGGCGTGGCTCAAGGTGTAGGCCCTGAGATCAAACCCCAGTACCGCAAAAAAAAAAAAAAGTCACAATTATCCTCACATCTGTTTTCGAACACTACTGATTTTCAAGTGACTTTCTCATCACTGCAGATCCATGCAGAGAAGGACCCTAGCCTAAAAGCTGAAGACCTCTGACTGAAATGAGGACTGTCTGATCAGCCTGTGAGATTCTGAAACCTGCCATTTTGTGGGAAAGCTGTACCATTTCCGACAGCGTGTCACCCTCATGACTGTGGGCCCGGTGGCTATGGTGAGAGTGATAAGGTGCACACAAAAATACGGCTCTCAGTGCTCACTTACCATTGTGTGACATCCCCACGGCAAGACACTTCTGAAACCGACAGTACTGACATTTATTTCTGCTCTTTTTGTGGATCCGACAGTTAAGATCGCACCTATCATAAATGAGTTTCAATCGGATGGTCCTCCGGAAGAAGCCCTGCCAAAGGGATACAAAAACCATGAAGCCACTTTTAAGTCTTGGTGACACAGGGAAACACAACCTACGGGGCTAAAAGGCACAGTGTATCAGAAGAGATGGGTTCTTGGCACAGTTTTACCCCGGGGGACCTCACACAAATCCCTTACACTCTCTACCCAAAGAACCAGAGGCTCTCCAGGGTTCCTTTTGAGCTCCGAGACACTGACCGCATCTGCTGATGTCATTCCGTGTACCCTGGTTCTGTGCTTGGCTTTCAGCAAGCTCTAGGAAGCTCTCTGGATTTAATGTCACGCAAATAAAACCCCATGTAATCAGTTCAGTCTCTCCACGAGTCATGCCAGCAACGCACCCCGGCTTTTAGAGTTGTGCTAAGCGGTCTGGCAAGGTTATAATCACTTCATTCTAAAACACAGTCAAGGCCAATAGCAATCCACATGTGGGGAATTGTTTGGACTTCTCTCTGTTGCATAATTTCCTGCGGAATTCGTTTCATTTGTTTGTGTCGTTGAAAGAGGGCCCCTCATCGTGGCCAGTGAAGAAATGCTCGGAAAATCGACCCCGAAATGGCTGATGTGTTCATGTGGGACTGACTGAATATTCTATTAAAGTTACTATGTCTTTTGGCTAGAACTGAGAAAAAAAATTTAATTGGGAGAATCTTCTTGCTCCATTTTTTGGGTTCATAGCATTTGAAGTCACTTCTACGGTGTTCATCTTGGTGAAACGCAGTTCTTAATTCTTTCAAATTTATCTGGTCCTGTGTGGTACAAAAAAGCCCCCACTGGATTAGCATTGATTCTGCTAGTTGGCGTGTATTTTCATGCATTCTAACTTTCTCCAGAATTATTATTCTTTTCTTTTTTTCTGTGGTGCTGGGGATAGGACCTGGAACCACCACTCCTGGCTTGTTGGTTGAGATGGGGGGGGGGTCTCGCTAACTTTACTTATTTATTTGCCTGGGCCAGCCTGGAACCTTGATCTTCCCAATCCCTGCCCCTGGAGTCACTGGGATTACAGGGGTGAGCCTCTGTGTCTGGCCTCACTTGCATGCTGGAGAGATTACAGGTGGTGTTATTTCTCTCCATACTGAATTCCACAGTCTTTGTGCGTCCAGGGCAGTTTTATGTCTGGGCTTTCCTGCTGTGGGTACAGGCAGGGGTTTCTTTCACTGATTTTCTTGAACATGGCTTCACTTGTTCACGAGTTCTGGGACTCAAATTGGACAGCTGTTAGGCCTTTTCATGGCAGTCTTCATATTTCCAAACTTCTCATTTGCAGTTTCCATCTCCTTGTCACTGGTCACTCACTGCACTGACTGCAAGTGTAAAAACAGACGAGGCCACGCACAGCATGAAATGGACTGGCCAAAGAGCCCGCCTCTCACCTAGGTCCACCGTTCTGCGCCTCATGCTCCCATAGGAAGAAAACACACCTTTCCTACATCCAGCGGCCCCGCCACCCCTTCAAGAATGGACCTCGAGGGCCCTGTGAGGACCTGAGCTCCAAGACACATCAGTCTCATTCCGAGTGAGTGATCTGAACCTACTTTGATTCTGGCATCTTTTCTTTTGCTGTGCTCAGCACGCCAGCCGACCCTTACTTTGGATTTTATTGCAATAATTATATATTTAACTTTCAGAAATCTCCCTTGATTTGGTTTCTAATCTGCCTGGTCATTCCTGGTGGCCTCTTGTCACTGCTCCCTTGCTGTCACCCTCTTTCTTTAAACAGTTTGTGTAAGAGTATTATTGAGTATCTCTCTGTGTAATTATTTATTGACTTGAAGAATGGAACTGGCTTTGCCAACACTAATAAAGAAACACTCTATTAATACTCTTTATTATTTTGGAGTCCATAAAATAACATGTACCTTTTTAATTTTAATAAAACTACATGCAACTTTTTAATATATATATATATATATATATTTTTTTTTTTTTTTTGGTGGTACTGGGGATTGAAATCAAGGCCTCACACTTGCTAGGCAAATGTTCTACCATTGAGCCACCCTGCCCGCCTGTTTGTTTTAGTTACTTTGGAGATAGGGTCTCGCTTTTTGCCTAGGCCAGCCTGGACCACGACCCTCCTATTTATGTTTCCCTCTGTAGCTGGGATGACAGGTGCACACACCACTGTGCTTGGCCATTGGTTGAGATGGAGCCTAACTTTTTGCCCAGGCTGCCTTCAAACTGCAATTCTCCTGATTCAGCCTTCCAAGTAGCTAGGATTACAGGTGTGAGCCACTGCACCTGGCTCAACTTATTTTTCTTATTTGTTCAACAACTTATTCTTCCAATGGTCGTGTGAACTGCTGTGATGAGGACGCATCGGTCACTGTTTCAGAATGCTGTTTGTGCAGTACTCATTTTACAGTCTTCACGTCTCTGTGTGAGAAGGTGATTCCTGCTTTTGTTTGTTTTTTGTTTTGTTTTAAGTTGCTTCCAGCTCCTCCTTAATTGACGTATTTGTTTGTTTTTCTCCCAGTACTGGGGTTTGAACAATTGCTTTATCTTAAACAAAACTGTCACGTGCAAGAAGGTCTCCAAATGTCATCATTAATTTCACAATGAAATTAAAAGCCCTGTGTTGGCCTGCAGTGGCTTCCTGTGAAGGGGTGTTGTGTCTAGGGCTGCCACTGGCAAGTTAGAATATATTAAAAACTACAAAAGTAGGCTAGGTTGTACTGTGTGGTAGAATGTAGCTACTTACATGGTTCAAAGTGGTGTTTCACCAAAGGTTAACAGATACGATTGCTAAGTTTGAGTGTGTCTCCTCACGGTTCCTGTATTAGAATTTAATCCCCACCTGACACCTGGCTGTGGTGGGTGGAGGTGGGGCTGTGGGGATTAGACAAGGGCTTTCGATGGAACCCCTATGATTGAATCCTGGTGACTTTGAAAGAACAGGGAAAGAGACACACCAGGCTCCTGGTATCCTCCACGTGAAGAAGCCAGAGCTGCTCTGGAATGCTGCATCAAGACAGCCATCAGCAGATGTCAGCCCTCGCCTCAGACCAGAGCCATGAACCCAAAGAAACCTCTTTTGTTTATAAGCATGCAGTCTCAGGCATTTCATTTTGGCAATGAGAAATGAGCTAACACAGTGATGAAGCCTACTAAAGAAAAAATATGTGTCCAATTTTTAAGGAGAAATGGTAGCTCTGCAAGTTCTCAGGCACACACACATGCTTTTTAGTAGCTAGAGGTTTAATTTTGTGTAAGTCTGCAGTTTTAACACACCCAACAATGTCACTATTGCCCTGTAATCCAAACCCAGTGTACTCATTCCTGTCTGTCTAAGTGGACTTTGACAAGGATCACTAATACAACATAGCTTTAGAACACCCGCCAGCAGCCATCTGAAGCCAGGGAGCTCTTCCTTTCAATCATAAATTAGACTGTGGGCTTGGGGTCCACTGAATTTTAGTTACGGGCGCATCCCACATCTGATCTGTTACAGCATCTTGCTTAGCAGCTTGCTAAGGTCATCTTCCTAGGTCCCCACTGGGGACGCGTGAGGAGCTCTGAAGGCCAGCAGCCAGCTCATGTGACACTGGTTCTGTGTGGGTGGTTCCGAGCAGGTCCTGTGTAATTGCATTCCTCCCCCCTTCATGCCCTATTCCAAGGGGCTCTCAAACTTCTGGTCTCAGGATTCCTTTGTCCCTTGAGATCATTGTGAAGACTCTGAAGAGTTTTTATTTAGGTAGGCTACATTTGCTGACCCTGATCAGGCTAGATATTAAAACAGAAAAAGTCCCTTTCTGAGACAGGGTCTAGCCAAATCATACTGTTCCTTTAACATTCTTTTTATTCTTACCTTTAAAGTATATAAATACCTATTTTCCTTTCCTGGTGGTGGGGGAGCTTAACTTTCTTGCATTCTATTCTAGGAATTCTGCAACCTACATTTTGGCGGTGCTGGGGTTTGAACTCAGGGCTTTGCACAGCTAGGCAGGTGCTCTGAGCCAAGCCTCCAGCCCTGAAACCTATATTTTGGATGCAAGTTATTACAGGTGGGTAGCAGCGCTCCTAAGCTTTCTCTTATTGTATTTTGTTTGGTTTTTATGACAGGTTACATTGCAGGTTTTATTCAGTGTTTATTCTGTCTTCCACCCCGTTTTTCTTGTGTGTTTGTGTTTGTTTAGAAGTACTGGGGGTTGAACTCAGGGCCTTGCACATGGGAGGCAAGTACCTTGCCTCTGAGCTACGTCTCCCCTGGCCTCCTTCTACCCTTCTAATCCCAACTTGAAGCTCTTGCCTTTTCCTAGACTTCCCTCTTCTCTTACTTTTGCTATTTTCCTTTTTTGTTTGTCTCTATCTTCTGAATTTCAGTGCCCTCGGGACTTAGCTCCATGCTATGACCGACTAGTGACAATGTTTCTTTCAATTTGCAGCCGCGCTAATGTTGACGTCACAAATACGTGCACAGGAGAACTGACAGAACTGTTTGCTTCCAGGATCTAATATTCCAGGAGTATTGTGAGCCTGTAGAAAACAATAAGTTACCTTGAAAACCTGATCGATCATGCTTTTGCTTATTAATGTAGATTATCAACATGACCACTTGGAATGATTTCTTTGGGTAAATATGGTGCAGAATCCAGCAAGAGTTTTCTCACTCAAAAACTTGTGCAAATCTAAGTCAATGAAATGACACGCTCATCCTGGGAAGACACCTTGGTAAGGTGTTAACTGAAGAATGAATTGCTTTTTTGAGACAGGGTCTCACCCTGGAGGCCAGCCTGGCCTCAGACTCACTATCCTTCTGCCCCGAGTGCTGGAATTATAGGTTTGCACCACCATGCCTCGCTCATGAATGGCGGCTAGTGTTTTAAATAAATCGTCTCTTGCCAGCAGTATTTCAAGGACTCGTTTTGCAACTTAGACCTTAGAGACGTGTAAGACCTGGACGGTCCGTCTAACCAAGTCATTTCACACATGAGATGAGTGAGGGCTGAAGTGTTTATGTGAAGTGTCGTCTACTGGGTTGCCTTTACAGTAAGTAGCAAACAATGTCAGCTCAAAGGATTTAAAAGATCTGACTGAATCCCGTCATCTAAGCCCTGTCATCGAACCCATCACTGAAGAGCTCAGAAAACTTTGGTAGACTGTGGTTCAATACTGATATACACACAGGTGCCTGGCACAATGTGCGCAGAGCGGGGATTCGGTGAAAATGACTCTTCTTTTGGTGTGTTTAGCAGCGCCAAGGTCCTGAGTCCTGCCTAACTGCTGTTCTGCATCTTTATTCTCAATAAAAAGCTCAACGGAGGCAGTGCTAATTACAAGGTAAGTATCCATGAGCAACTTAAAATGTGTCCTGGAGCGTATCATAAATTAAATACTACTTTATTCATTGAGTGCATTCAGATTACATTATAGGACTGCCTAAGTTGGGTGTGGAGATGCACACCTGTAACTCCAGCACTTGGGAGGTTGAGGCAGGAGGATCGTGAGTTAGAGCCCAGCCTGGACTACATAGCAATATTCTGTCTCAAAAAGAAACAAAGACTATATATCAAAATATGAGTCCATTAAATTATTTGCCTAACAACTGGGATCAGCGTATTACAAAGGGTCTGAATTTTCTAAAATACCCTTTATCACAAGGAAGGAGTGGAAGGGAAACAGCACCTCCTGTGAGAAACACTAGCTCCTCTTTGACTGATTACAACACATGGCTGCAACTGAAGCTGGAGTAAGGAGTCACAGAGCCCTGGCTGAGGAGCTGTCACAACCCAAGAGTCACTTCCCAGACCTCACACTGCCACTTGTCACAATGGTCTTGGACAAGCCTTGCTGATCCACAGTTTCATTCTTTTTCTTTTTCTGTCAGCGCAAAGATGGAACCCAGGCCTTGGGCATTCTGGGCAAGTGCTCTACCACTGAGCTATGTCCACAGAGAGGCCATAGAACCCTCAATCTTGTGGGCCTGTTCTGAGGACCAAATGATGCGTGTGTGAGAAAAGACCCCATGCGGCGGTGAAAAGCCCACCAGAGAAATCAGGAAATCCAGGTCCTGGCACCACTCGTCAGTTGCACTGTCATACCATGACACCTTGGACAAGTCACTTAAAAAAAAAAATCTGATGTAGACCAATTTGGACAAGAGGGAGGGAGGGGGTGAAGCAACCCTATTTTTGTCAGTTTTTCTGAGGTTCTCAAATATTACAGCACTTGAAGAATGAACTCTGCCCAAACGAAAAAGTCTGACAATTTTATCTCAGTTCCTTGGGATGAGTTCGTAGGAGGAAGGTGTTTTCTTTACCTTGCACCCCTCACAGGCGTGGACGCCATAGTGGAAGCCAGAGGCCTTGTCTCCACAGACGCGACACTCGATGGCCATGAGCGTGTTGGAAGGCTCCTCGTGAGACCTGTTGTACAGCTGAGTCTTTTCAGAGTAATAGGGTGGGGATGCAGGTTCCACCTTGATCGCACCTGTGCATTGGAAAGTTCGAGAAGACCGTTATCACATGACAGACAATCCTCAGAAAGCACCTTCATGCCATATTTCTGCCTTTTCAGGGTAGAGGCACTGTGGAACATGAAAAACACTGGAGTTAAGGCAGGAAAGCATCAGCCTTTGTCATCCTCAGCAAGTCACAACACCTCTGAGCCCCACCTGCAAAAATACAACAGGAAGGGAATTAAGCCCGAGGTTCTGCAAACTGCTCTCCATCACGACAAACCCAAGCTCCAGGAGACCACACACGGGCTTTGAAACAATGATGCTTCCTTGGCCTGGGGGTGGGCTGCACCATTTAGCGCTCATTGCATGATATGAAATGATATGTTCTATTTAGCTCCTGCATCCTGCAAGTATTTTTATACCACTCTTGCAAAGGAAACCAATGAGGAGGTCATGGTGAGCCCAGCTTGAGAGTCCAGGTCACCAGCAGGGCTGAGTCAAAAGAGGGGTTTGTAGAAAGATCTTTGCGACAGAACAGAAGAAAACCAAGCAAGCACTGCACTTACTGGCTAGCTTCAGGCCCATTTAACTTCTGCACTCAACTCTAACTGAAAACCACACAGATAAATATAACCACGTACACTAGTTATCTAAGACAAAACTAGACATACAGAAAGTTCTTACTAATTATCAAGTTATGGTTGACAATGACACAGTGGTGGCTTTGGAAAACCAGCACATCAACCCACAGCGAGATAAAAATCAAGGAAAGAACATCACTGAAACTGTATTTTATGATGAAGAGTGCAGCTCCAGTTGTCCTGGACTCTGGTGTTTTGATGTTCATTTAGCTCATGGCATGAAGATTTAGCACAGTGTTAAAAATATAAGTTTGTGCCAAAACTTAGGTTTTGGTATAAATTTCACAAATTCCGGCTTAGAAAAAAATGACAGTAATGCTAGTAATTTTGAGGTGATAAGTTATATAAGGTAACTTGCATTGTTTCTTACTAACTCATAAAGGACCAGAAGAACTCAGCATTTGGAGGATGAACTTTTAGCCTAAGACAACCAGTAATGCAAGGATATGAGAAAATGTTCCTAAGAAGGACACAAGCCAGAAAGGAAAGGAGAGGTGGGAGGAGGCGAGGGAGGAAGGGTAAATTGGACTTGAGACATTTGTATCGACCTTCCTTTTGGACACTTCACAGATACCTAGTATTTCAAGGGTAAATGGATGGGTGAGTGCACGGTAAGCTCCTTCTCTATGATTTCTCGCTTATGGCTGAGCACTCATCCCAGGGGTACTGGGAGACTGGCCCATTCCAGTCTTGGTGGTCTGAAAATGAACATAACTGTCATACTTTGGTACTCCTGCAGCTTCAGGTCGTATTTATAGTCAGCAACCATGGGGTCTGCTCTTGAGAACGGAATGTCTTCATAGTGAGGCGTGGAAATGCTGGAGAAGTCCACGGTGGTGAACGGCTTGATGTCAAAGGCGTGGGGGTGATCGTCCATCACAGAGAGGTCCACCGAGCTGATCCCGAAGTTGGTGGGCCAGAATGGCATCTCTGTGTCAACCATGGCAATTTCTGAAGTGGAAGAAAGAAAAACAGCACGCTGAGGCTGAGTGTGGAGGACAGAGAGCTCTCCTAAAGACTCTCAGGGAGGTTACTGCAGAGGGAAAGAGCACGCCCGCCTGCCTAGGTTTTGTTCGAGAAGAAGAAAGTCAGTCCTCACCTGCCACCCCGGGGACCCTCTCATGGTAGGGTGTCCCCAGATGGATGCCTGGCCAACAGCTCCACCCATGCTGTCCACTGCAGAGGACCAACCACATCTGCTGAGCGTTATGTACTGAAAAGTTTCATTCTACTTTTCTAAAGCCATAATTGGTAAATAAAAAAATTAAAGATATACAATATAATGTTTTAATACATGTATAGATTGAAAAGTGACACCACAGTGGTGTTTTGATAATGTACATGTGGTGAAATGATTACCACAATCAAGCCAATACACAATTTGTCACTTTGCATAAACATTTTTGACTGAGCATGTATACATCCAATGCAGTGTGACTAACTGTAGTCACCTTGCTGCACAGTAGGTGTCCGGGACCTCCCCATTTCCCCTCCCCTCAACTTCTCAACCACCATTTGATGCCCTGATTCCAGAAATTTGACATTTTTGAGCTCCACATGTAAGTGAGATCATGTGGCATTTGTCCTCTGCATCTGGCTTATTTCCCCTAGAATCTTATCTTTTAGGTTCACGTTGCCACAAGTGACAGGATTTTCTTAAGCTATCCAGTATTCTACTCTGTGTGTGTTTGTTTACGTGTGTGTGCGCGCGCACTGCTTTTTTGTAAACTCGTTCATCTGTCTACAGACAGGCTGGTTTCAAACCTCGGCTATTGTGACTAATGCTGCAATGAACACAGGTGTGCAGAAATCACACACTAAGCTCAGTCCCTTTGGACAGAAACTCATGAGTGGGGTTGCTGGTCACGTGGTAGGTTTACTACTGATGGTTTTGAGGAATCTCCACCTCCAGTTTCCATACTGGCTGTACCAATGTACATGTCTCCAACAGTGTGGCAGGGCTCCCTTTCTCCACACCCTTGCCAACAAGTTACCTTTCTGTCTACAGCAGCCATCCTAACGTGTGAGGTGATAGAGTTCATGGTGCTTTTGATTTGCATTTCCCTATGTTAGAGATGGTGAACACCTTTTCATATAGCTGTTGGCCATCTGTCTGTCTTCTTTTGAGAAATGGCTCTTCATGCCCTTTGTGAATTTTTAGTTGAGTTCTTTGGGTTTTTTTTTTTTTTTTTTTTTTTTTTTTTTTTTTTGCTGCTGCTGATTTGTTTGAGTTTCTTACATATTTTCAATATTTACCCATTATCAGATGCAAATATTCCCTCCCACTGTGTAGGCTACCTCTGTTCTGTGTATTATTTCCTTCACTGTGCAAAAGCTTTTTAGTTTGATGCAATCTGTTTAACACTTGTTTTTAAAGAGCACAGAGTTCTAGGATAATTTTATTCTTTTGAAATTAGAAACCCTGAACATTTTTTTCCTTTAGGATTAAAATCTTGCTATTCCATTTGTGTAGGATTATTTGACATGATAGAGAAGTTGGTAAATTAAATTTAGATAAACAAATGTATTATTTAACTGTATTCCAAAATAATTTTGCTTAAGGTAATACTAAAATGAATCTTTAAAAAAACTCAGAAGGTGCCTTCTGTACTATGAACAGCTACTCAAATATTTATCTTTCCTGTAGATACAGTTTTTCTTCATGAGAAGGGCTGTCCCTTACTGAGAACAAGCAGGTGAGGGGGGAGTATGATAACTGGGACAGTCCTCATCAGAGTTCAGCCCAGTGCTGACCCTAAACCACCCCCAACAAAACAAAGGAGGAAAGTGAGAAGTATGTAAAAGACAAAGGGAAACATTTAGATAGATTCCAAGGAGTCATGAATTGTCTCCCCAAGAGGATGCCTGCCATGCACCATTTCTACACATGATTTGTTATCACAGTAAGTGACATAAAATCCTGAGCAGTCTGAGTCCCAAGTACCTCACTTGTTAGCTACTGGTGAGGACGGGCTTTACATCTTCAGGCAATAGTTGCCTCTCTGATTTGGTTTACCTGAGATGAGTTCACGATCCAAAGTGGTACCAACACAGCAGTCAGTAAGTATTTTAAATGTTAATTCTTTGGCCAAAAACACCAGGGTAGAGCTGTGCAAAATTCAGGATTGCTAACTAAGGAGATAAAGAAATGAATTCTTCATCAAAACTCCAGGGCTCCAAAATCAGAGGTTTCTCTGTCTTGTTTGACTCATGCTAGGTGCACCTGGAATATTTATTCACTAAATGCTAAGTGAATTGTTGGCTGAAGGAGATGGCTGTGAATTTTAGCAAAAGGGGAGTCAACGTGACTTATTCAGCATCTACCCTGTACCAGACACATTCTAGCTTCTATTCCAATGTAAATAAAAAAGCCAGGACTAGAGAAGTCAAGTGATTTACTCAAGGTTCACAAGCTAGGAGGGGGGAGAGTCAAACTCAAGACCAGCCCAGAAACTCTATTTTGCAGCCATTCTTTCAGTGATGGAGAAGGAGAAGGTTCTGGGAGGGCTGCTCTCCCAGGGCTATCTGGGAATGGGCCTCTTGCCTTTTCCCAGCAAGCAGAGAGCTCAGGAATTTGCTCTCACAGTCTAACTCTTGCTTGAGATTAAAGATTTCAGTTGTGGTCTTTATAAGAAAAACAAAGTGCTTTGCAAATACAAATAAGGCGGGGAGTCCAGTGAAACGTGCTTTTGTGGCTCCACGAGGATGCACTATGCACCCGTCTGGTTCCCGAGTCTCAGTACATCTACACAGTAAGTACCCAAACAACCTTGAGTTATCTGAGTTACACTGTAAACACTGCACACCAGAAGCAGGAACGTGCATTAGTGATAGCCCAAAGGTGGCACTGGGTCTCAATGACATCCAGAAAAATATCTGTGTTCCTAACGACAGGGGCACCCATTGAACTCTGCTGATTCAAAATGCAGGACCTTGCAGGCGCTCTGCCCATTTCCCCAGCAGGCTTACTTCTCATTTCTCAGTGACTGTAACGTCAAGGGCTGTCTGTCTTCCAGACTGTGATAGCCTCAAGGACAGGCTTCTCAACTGCTTTTTATGACGCCCATTGTAGAGTCTGACCATGTGAGCTACAGGTAGCAGGTATGATTTGTATCAATACTGGGAACAGAATATGCACAGGCAAAAATATCTGGGTTGCAGGAAAAGGTGGCTGTTCATTATTGTATGGGTTAACTTTGTTTCTTTCCTTCTTAAAATGTTTTTTAAAATTTTTTTGCAGTGCTGGAGACGGAACCCTGCTTGCACATGCCAGGCAAGTGCTGTACCACCAAGGCGTACCCCGAGCCCTTGGCTTTTTGAGACAGGGCACATAGCTCAGGCTGGTGTCCAACTCATGATCCTTCTGCTTCAGCCTACCACCGGGTGCTGGGGGTACACCCGGTGTACCTGGCTTTACGGTCGTAGGTTTATATAAAATCGAGCAGACAGTAGAGTTCCATGACCTTCTTCCCTCTCCCATGGCTTCCTTCCCTGAAACACAGGAGGTTGACCTATTTTAACATCTGTCGAGTGCAGCATGCATGCTACAACTGAAGACCAATACTGACAATCCATTACAAAGTGAACCCCAGTGTACATCAGGGTTCCCCTTTGCACTGTAAGTCTATGGATTTTAACAAATGCATAATACACATGTCCTCCACTGCCTCATCATACAGAATCGTTTCATTGCCCCAAACAGCCCCTGTGCTCCACCTATTCATCCCACTCTCCCTTCCCCATACCAAGGAATGCTATGGCTTTGCTGTCCTCTGTCATTATACACTGGTGACAAAGCAGAGAAACAGTGACTTCTGTAATAAATGACTGTTTCTTAGCTTGGCATCCGAGGCTCTCCATGGCACAGCCTAGCTTACCCTTCCAGTCTTAATTCCCCTGGTTACTGCAGCCTCATACTCATGGCTGGCACCGCCTGCTCCTGCCCAGGCTGGACTCGCCCTGCAGTCTCTGGTCTGCCCTTGTGACCGGTGCAGGTTCCCGAGGCTGCTGTGCCTTCTTCCTCCCCCTCGTCCCTATGCACCACAGTTCTGCTTGTCTGTCAAAGCCCAGATCAAATGCTACTTTCTCCACGAAACGCTCTGTGAGTTTTCCAACTTAAAAACCCCATGGTACTTTGCGGGTGTCCTTCAAGCCTGACGTGTTTACTGGTTTGGATAAACAGCTCTGCCACTGGATTTCTTTCAGTCCTTTGGCATGGCTGCTGTCTGCTACACGCTTGCTAATTAGAAGATGATATTCTACAGAGGAGAGCAGAATAACTTCTCATTTTGCTGTGAGAGATGGAAATTAAGTACTTTCTCAGTGGCTCAGTCTTGCTAAGGCTTCAGCTCCTCAGACGATGCTAATCTTCAGTATTGTAAGTAAAATACAGGACAAGCTATCATCCCTCTCTCAATAATGTGTATTCAGTCTTTTATTCTGGTTCATTACAAGAGGAAGATTAGGGTCCTGTCAGCTTTTGCCTTCTTTTTAGGGGGTGCTGGGGATCAGACCCAGAGTTCCGCACGTGTTAGGCAGGCGTTCCACCACTGAGTTATTCCTCAGCCTGGGTTTTCTTGTTTTTCGAAGTAGAAAGGACAAAATAAGACAGAGAAGCACCTTGTCTCTTCTCTGTGAAAACGTATTGCTCAAATCCACGCCTCTGTCTTCCCCCTGCCCCTCCCTTTCCTTTTCTCTGGGACACCTTGACCTAAACAGTGTGGCATCAGGGACCAGAGCACAGTGGTTCCCTGATGTTTTTTTTTTTACTTAGCAATGGGGCCAGGAAACCTGCTTCTGATTTTGTCTCTAGAAAACAGAGGCCTCTGTGGTGCCAAGCTGTAAGTTCTGTAAGCTGAGTAGGTGTTTTTTGTTACTCCGTGCAATTACCCATGAAAGAACAAATGAACAAAATATTTGCATGAACAAACAGTGCCTCTCAGGACTAAGTA